GTAATGGGGTTACCTCCCTTTATTTTATTGGTTGCTATTCCAAATTAGATACACTATGTATGTAGAACATACAAAAAAAAGCTGAAAGGCCTCTCTAAATTCGAAAACTATAAAATAAATAACAAGTTAACAGGTTTATCCGCTTCCTTCTACAAACGCAAATCACATTTCTACAATATGGCCCGGCAGGTATGCTTTAAATTTAAAGCCACGCTACACTGTATCGTCAAGTACCGGTAACACTTGACCTTTCATTAAAACTCGAGCATAGCTTCTCAATATAGCTGTTTTTGAATGACACGCCACGTAATTAACGCAGTTTTGCTTCAAAAGATTAGAAAATAAAATGAACAATGAAAACTGGAAAATGCCGCGTGAATGTAACCATCCATCGTATTCGATGCAGCGACTAACACTTTGATTAATACAGTTAGCTATTCAACGATTATTCGCAAGAACGGAGTATTTATATTTCTTTCTTTAACCTTTATTAAAGTATTTATCCTGCTGCATGTATGCGCACTGAAGTTTTACATCATTTCTTCCAAAGCAAAAAACCAGATTTTACTGTCTTTCTTCGAGTATTCTCTAGTAAAAGCGAAGCGTCCTACCTGAGCATGGCCATGCACAATTTCGGAATCCCTATTCTTTTATTGGAGAAACTACACAAGCCATAGTAATAGACTTGTTCTCTTCTTACAACTCATAGCGAAGAACAAGTATTGCTTATGAAGTATCCAGCCAACAGAGGAACTCATCTTTATTCAGTTCATTAAAAACCTTCAGAATGTTTTTACTTGAGCCAAAATGACACGTCTTAAAGAAGGCACACACTTACATATCAAGTGATTCAAGCTTTCTCGTTGCTTGCAATTAATGTACTATTACATTCGATGATTTTACTTCGAATTAGAAGCATTGGAAAAATGTGCAGGATCAATTCTAAAATAGTTAGATCATATAAAATAGTTGTACTGAAGCCCTCAATAGCTTTCATAGCAACTTTTTTACCCTCCTTACTGAAGCAAAATTCATGCACTGAAACCATTTCTTAAACAAATAAAAACAAAAAAGACCTAGTTGACTATAATAGATACCTACTCATTTACAAGCTTGCCTGCTGAGACGCTTAGGAACAAATAATGAAGTTTGCAATGAGTTTATAATCCTCTTGCTAAAAAGTTAGAAGTCGTTTGGCAATACTGAAGTTAACGAACAAGCCTTAGATAAAAATGAATCAATTCCCAATAAAATATTTAATTAACATGATATTCTTTCGTCCGATAATCTATTTGCTCGGAAAAAAATAACACACAAGAAGAATAACTGGCATAGCAAATATTCGAGCATGGGCAAAAAGTAGCAGAGCACGGAAGTGTAGAAAAATGATGAATTTTTCTTACACCTCCGGATTACTCAATTAAGAAAAATTAATTTAGTCTTAAATTATATGATACAATCAATCCAAAATTTGCTCATAAATAAATCGAAACATATTCGAACAAAAAAAGAGTAGAAAAAAGTGATACAGCACTACCACAACCAAAAATATGTAAATAACTGGAACAGAAGTAGAGCTGCCAAAATAGCAAATTTAATTTTGGAGATGACTACTTCTTTTGAATTCCTATAAAATATTCCTTATTGCCACATGCACCTTTAACCGCAGATTCCATAAAAAATGCAATTTTTCCACCCTCCAATGATTTTGTACAAAAATCCCAAATTTCATGCATAATTCGACTATGAATTGATTCAGAACGAATGATTCCTTTTCCTCGAGATACTTCACTCTGGGTAAGAAAAAATATATAAAAATGACTATAAAACGCAAATTTTAGTTATTAAATGCATGGCATGATTAATTATTCAGAAAAAGATTACCATATATAACAAATTTGGCAGAATTTTAAATTGATATCATTGAATAATTTCTCACCCGAGTCGCCTCAAATTGTGGTTTGATCAAAGCAATTAACATCCCTCCGTTGCTTTTTACTAAGCCCCAAATGGGGCACAAGACTGCATCACACATGAAAAAATGAAGTGATACGATAGTTTAAATACATTCTAAATATTGAAATATAAGCCTTTCCTAACATAATACATTTTACTCCCCTTCTTAGACTCCTCTCAAATTTTACTCTTCCACAAGAACTGAAAAGTAACTTCGCAGAAAGGAATGCAAGAAATAAAACACTCTAAAGGCTAATGAATCCATTTTCCAATGTAAGAAAATAAGAAGACGCCTAAGACGAGCCATGCTTAGGAGGAACCAACCTTACAAATGCGTTTGAAAAACAAATTCATGATGGAAACAAATGAGATTACAGAGGAAAACAGGGAAAAGATTTTGAATCACACTTATATATGAGCTAAAATGGGAGTACCTTTTACAATAGAAATAAACGAGATATCACACGTTACAACGTCGTAGGATTGATAAGGAAGGATATCCGGAGTAACATACCTAAAAAGATTCAATTCTTTACATGTTTAGTAAGCTTGAAAGTTTCTCAGTAGTCGTGTGCTGTAACTACTGAAACTTATAAAAGCAAAATAAAGGACAATAATCAGTATTTACCATGCGTTAACATAAACAGAGTCACACTGCAAAGCAAGAAAAAGTAATAAACACATAACAAAAGAATGAAAAGTGTATAATTCATAAACCCAATAACCGTGCATTTATATTTTCGAAGCTAGTAACCCTGGAATCCCATTTTAAAGAATGATCCAATTGGTTCGTCCCTACATCGATACACACAACGCGCTCTGCACCACTGTACCACAATCAAATTTATGAAAAAGAACGAATGTTACAATAAAATCTTGTGAAGCGATATCTTACAATTTAAGCATTTTTCAAATTTTAATTAAAATCCATAAAAGTGTGAAATTACTCAGGAGCAATAGAAAATTAACTTTTACACTACAAAAAGTTGCAAAAGCTACACCGAAAGCATTCATGCACTTTCACACTCTACTATGAAAAAGGACATGAATTTACAAGGAGCTAATATTGAAGTAAACAAACCGCTGCAAACAACAATCTGTAAAGCCACCAATGGATGCACCAACATCTAATACTTCTTTTCCATTACAATCAATCGAAAATTCATCCAGAAAAGCTTCCAGCTTTTCTCCTGCTCTCCCAACAAATTTGGGAAGCTTTTCAATGAAGATTTTAGCGTTGCGATGCAGTAGTTGCCCTGATGTTTTCACAATCTCGGTTTTTTGAAATTCATGCTTGAAATTCAAGCTGTGAATTTCACAATCTTCTGGGTTAAAAGGATTGATTGCAGAAGTATTTGCCAACACACCGTTACCACCATAGCGTTGTTGGTTGTAATTTTGAGAAAGTCTTCGAGCAAATGGATAAGATGAAAGCTTTGCATCGTTTAACAGTAGTTCTAATTTGTGTTGTACTTGGAAAGAATAGTGTTGTAGGTTTTCGTGAAATTGCTGACTTGGTGTGCATAAATTTACAGGTGATTTAGAGTAGCTTGCGACAGGATCTAACTGTGATTTTCGTGTAGCAACAGAATAAGTAGCAGCTTGAGGCTTTCGCGATTGTATCTGCTGTATAAGCCATACTCTTCCCAGCTGAATTAAGATTTGTCCTTTACTGCGCGTTTCCACAAGACCTCTTTCAAGTAGTAATTCATCCGCGCGAATCCTTTTAGCTCCTTTCTTAGAATACAACCGTGTAAACACAGATCGAAAAAAAGGTTGCATAAGCTCAAAAGCACAGAGAGTGTTACGGCTTTCTTTCAATATGTTCCCTTTATATTCTGTTTGAGCGGCAGATGCAGAGTGAGAGAGGACGTCGTGCAGTATACACATCAAAAAGAGGTATGAAATACAAACATCAAAGCCTTTGTGCCGTATACAAACGGCCAACATTCTTTAACTATTCTTTTTTGAAACGTGCTAATCCCATTTATTCAGTAGTTTTATTATGCAAAATTTCCCCATCGGATTATGCAGCATAAAACATTGCTGGGTTATACTTGACCCGTGAAGGCAACTACCGATCACAAATATTAACTATTGCTGCTTCAGAAATATGCCGTAAATTGCAGAGCGACACATGATAAAGCGGAGAGGAATGAGTAGTTGTGGAAGCGCTGTCATGGCGAAATAATGAATTGCGACGTGTAAGTACTTCAGGATATAGTGAGGAAGGTGCTACAAGAACAAACTCCATGCTGTAAGAAAATGTAAATACTCACTCTTAAAAGAAATTAATTGTGTGAAATTTGGTATATTTCTAAAAGTGTTACCGTTTATGAAAACACGGATGACAAGCAGATGATAACGGACTTTGTGCAGATTCTATCTTTTGATGTAGAGAAATTGGCGACACGACACAAATGCTCTCTGAACGAGGGGAGGGGATGGCGCGAAACCACTCAAAAAGCACGTTGTTCAAAACATCCCGTTGTAGCGTTCTGTCTGTAAGCTTAACTGAACAGTAAAAAGTGAGTGCACGCGAAAATACAAAAAGCAGAAATTGCATGTGCTCTTTTTTTAATGCCATTGGTGTAGCTCAATAAGTATAACTTCTGCGAACCGGTTATATCCTTCTTACGATCCGACGACAGAATTATATCTTTTATATCGCGAAAGGAGCCATTTTATTGCAGTTGCCTTTCTGCCAATTTAAGTTTTAGAATAAGACAATTTAACAAAAGCATACAAAAATATCATTTTTTATTTAGTATTATTTTTCTACTTTTAATTTGGGTTTTACATTGAAACAGAACGCTGATATATGGTAACTGTGAATTCACAAAGTGGTATCGTTGAAGATAGGGGAACTGACTGTTGTAAGCATTTTGTCGGAATGAAGTATATAGGCGAACGAAATAGTAATAAAGAGGAATAGAACCATAATGCTTGCATTGAACTGTGATGGTCAAAAAATCATTAGACAATACGGTCGACATTCTGTCACCGTTATATATTGAGTAAAAATAATTTTACTGATACCACGTACACCAGTGGCGCAATGGATAGCGCGCAGCCCTCCTAAGGCTGAGGTTGTGGGTTCGAATCCCATCTGGTGTGAAGCCTCTATAGAGGGTTTGTAGTGACCTCTAGCGTACGCAGAAACGGCGCTAGGGGGGTGCTGTACGTTCTCTATAGCGGTGTTTTTGATATTTATCGCTAAATATCAGTAACCGCAGCGGGTTATTTCTATTTTCTGCTCCTCGTTGCGTTCACCACTTACTACATTTTCATTGAATCTCTTAAAAGTAATTAAATCTTTATTCGTAACAAGTCTGCTTCTTTTTCTTCATTGCAGCATACGAAACCAACCTCCGCTGGTCACGTAGCAAATCAATGCCAGAAGGAATAGCATCGCATGGCACATAAATTGTACTTATTCCGTCAATTTGGCAAGCCAGTAAGTTGTCGTAGCAACTGTTGCAAATTATCGGCTGTTAGCAGGTTTATTTGCCTTCGCGGTATTATGGTACCGTTAAGTTATTATGGTTTCTTCTCCCTTAAGTAAATTGAATAAATATGCGCCATATTTTGGCGTGATTTTTATTACGGTTTTACTGGAAAAGATTAGCACATTCAATCAAAACAAGTATTGTATACCCCTTTCGTTTTCTCAAATAAGAGATCTCAGCAAACAACCGGCTCCTATTATGAGATGTTTTAACATGTTACAACGAAGCCATATACATTCATCTCAGATACGTGTATCCATCTTTTTCAATTTTACATGCTTTTACATATGTAAAAATCTAACATTTGAAAAGGCTATGAAGGATAGCCTCATATTACAAAGTTGCAGTTCCTTGTCACATTTTCTATAACATAAGTACTTGAAGAATAGCACGGCAAACTGTTCAATTTTCATTACAAGAACAATTCTCTCCGTAGATAAGTTATACTTAAAACAGCCTTGGTAGCTCTCCTCATTTTTAATAAACATATCCAAAAGATGCTTCAGCCAAAATTGGATGGGAATCGTGGAGTTGCTGAACGGTACTCCTGCAGATATAATTGAAATAAATTTACGGTTTGAAAAAGTTCCTCATGTACAGCAATTCTCACTTTGAGTGATATTTTAAAGTAAGGAAGAGAAAATTTGAAATTCCTTTTTTTCATTTGTGTACGAATGACAGCTTGGTTTTTCATTGCTTCCTGAAGTTTATCTCGGGTCACAATTTCCGTTCAGCCCATACAGGCTCCCATGTCACTTTGTCTAGTAGGTGATAGATCAGCATGCATTTAGTCAAACAGTTACAGGTCAATCAAAATGCTCGAAGTTATGAATATGAAATGATTTGCATGCCCAATAAAAGTGAATAAAATATACAAGTTTAAAAAATAGACACGAGTGGTAAACACTTAAAGATTCCATTCAGATTGCGTACTGGAGTTCTTCTGATGGCACGAGACGATCGACGGCAAGCAATTTCATACTATTTATAACCATTAACCTGTACATATATAAAAAAAATTCAAAAGCATTTTTATCTTAGAAACACTCATGGGTTATTACTCGCGACAAATTGTTTCTAAATTCTCAATACCAGAAACGTTTTCTTCTTTCCCCTGTGCTTTTCAGATGAGAAAATTATAGTAAGGAAAATGATCTCTGTGTTGAATCTTTGTAATATGCATTATCTCATACTTCAGCTTATTCATATAATATATACGCTAATCATGCATGTTCAAATTCAAGAAAAAGGGCGCTCTTTTTCAATGCTACCACAAATTCTTTGCATTATAAAAGATAGCATGGACAACGAACCCATATCCAGCCAACATCTTAGGTATGAGCGGAGAGCAGAGTTTCCAAAACATGATTGTAACTACCTACATAACGCATAGGTTAGAAATACCAGCAAAGAAAATACTATATAATAGCTGCAGAGACTATAAGAAAGCGTTGATGCAAGCACACAGGCTGCCCCTCTAGCTACTTGAAAAAAAAAATCAAACCAAGAATAAAACTTTTCATGAGAGAAAATTGAAACAACCAATCGTTTCACACAAACATGTAAAAACTCTCAAAAATAAAGAAACAAAATAATTTATTTACTTGGCTGACAATGAAGATGATTTTCGCACCTACTCAACGAATTATTTACATGAGAACTCTAAATACAAAAAAAGAAGAAAACTAATCCTAAGTCGCACCGCGTGTGGTTTTCATTGACATTAGCTAGATTTTGTGTTTTTCTTGTTAAATAAATTCTTACGAAGGAAAATAGTGAAATAGAACTTACCTCGTTATGAACAAGATAGCATCCCAAAAAATTTGAAATGAGAGCTAAATCTGCAACAGAGCCCTTAACATTTTCTAGAAGCGAGAAAATCATTGATTCCTGCCATGGAGAAGGAAGAGTCCTCCAATCACTTCTATTCAGCAGAAAATGACGTAATTTTTTTTACATAAACCGGAGATATTTTAGTACTGAGTATGCGTTACTTCAAAACTTGCAAGTTGTTAGCAATTTCTTGAAATAAAAACTGAGGAAATATACAAAAAAGTAGCACTTTCTTTCGTCAACCAGAAGCCTATCCCACCCGCAAGTAAATACAAATGCATCATCTTATTGCGCTAATATCTATTGAAAAATAATCAACAATAATCCAATTTGATTTCCTATCGCCACTCCTTAACATTTACATTTCATTTCTTCCCATTTTCAGGGGAATTCCTTCCTTCATTTTATGAAACCTTCCATCTGTGTATAGACATGCTCTGTTTTAATCTTGCTTCATCATTGTATGCTTCAAACTTACGGCAAAAATTCCGTAAAAGAAGATTGCAAGTAGTCCAACAATCGTTTGATTAAAAGCGGATGAATATATCCTGACTAGAAGGAAATAAAAATAGAATACTAAAAATCATGCAAAAATTTCCTCCTCAAAACGTCGGCTTCCTGTGAAGCTAACGTAACTACAGTGCAGCATTCATGCAACTTCATCTATCCACTCTTTTTATAACATTATAATTGTATTATAATCCTTTTTGGGTACTTCATCTATTACTACTGTCACCTGAAAAATCCTAAACCTTCTATAAATTCCCCTTACTCTCTCTGTGCATCGACCGCCTATCTTAAAGCTAACTCTCTTCAAATTTCTCTGACGTAGTACGAATTAGCTAGAGAAATCTCTGCAATCATTCTCTATATTATGAACTTTGTTTCTGCTGGATATAAAAGCAAGAAACTGCTCAAATTTAAAATCGAGAAACAAGTGGTTTCTTCAAGCCAATAGGCTACTCAAACTCTACCCTACAATGCAAAAAAAATAAAAAATAAAATACACTCTAAAAGAGAAAGAATAACCTTTGGAAAATTTTACCAACATAAAAGGAAAATTTTACATTTCTTTCATTGTAAGAACATTCATATTATTTTAGTAGGAAAACGTGCACATGATGCTCTTTCTCAATATTTCATCCTTTCTTCTGGTCTGACCTCCGTCGATGCATCCAGAAGCTCTGCAATTTCTTGCAAAGAAAGTAGACAGGGAAGCGGCGTGCCAACGAGAAGAGGATCAATTTTTTTCCAGTCTTGTAAAAGCTGATGAATCAATGTATCAACTACTGTTTGCTTGCCTGTAGAAAATATAAGAAATTCTGCCGTCAATTCATGGAATTAAAAAAATTGTAAACCGGTCAATGGATCACGATCAGGGTAACACATAGGCTACACTAAAACCAGTAGACCACACAGTGAATAAAACAAGTATTGCATCGAGAGAAATTTCTTATAAAAAAATATAAAAAATGAATATAAAAATATTGTAGATAAAGCAAGTATAGATGCCTAACGAGAAGAGGGAAAACAGGATTTCAAATAATAAAAAAGGATGAAGAAGCTTTTCATCGTGTAGAATAAAATTAAAAAAATGAAATGATAAACTTAGGAATCGTAGTAACCGAGGGGAGTACGTACATTGAAGGCGAGGCGATTTTAAAAAATTCGATAAAATTTTTGCAGTAAATCGAATGCGTTTTTGAATTCTTAAAACAGTAGATAATTTTTGGGTTTTCAGCACTGCATGGATTGGCATTTCCTAAACATATTTTCGAATAAATTATGCATACAAAGAGGCTCGAATAAATAAAAATATTTCGTAATGTATACACTCTATAATACACTCCAACTCTTTGTTTTGTGTAGAATCAAATTAAATAAAAACACAAGTCAGTCCCTCTTGATTAGGGAATGCCAATCGTTCTATCCTTCATACTAGTTTGTTATTCCTATTGTTCCATCCTTTCCATTCTTCAACAAGATATAAATTATTGATATATAGTTCAAGCTATAAAAGTGTTCCTCGTCTAATTATTTTTTCGAAAAAAGAAGTCTCATTTCAGTTTTCCTGTCCTATTTTTAACGCTTCTATCCATATTCTTTATAGAGTGTACATCTTCTTTCGATATAATTTGTAAGAAATATCTTTAAATTCCTTGTGTGTGCTCTACTCTCTCTTTTTTCTTACTCTCTTCCCTCTCCTCCCTATTTTCTCCTAATATAAGAAATATCCACCCGATAGGAACTGTAATTCTACTTTCATAGGTAGAAAGAGTGTCCATAGCAGTCAATCAAATTTTTTTTTCATTTCTAATACTATACGTACCCATACAGGGAGAAGATCGACACCATAGCCACTCTTCTGTGAATCTACAGAAAAAGTAGGGAGGCTTGGAATAGATGATAAATGCGTCCATACAGCAATCTTTAGAGGCAGAGCGATCTGGCAGAGGCTAGAGGAGAGAATCAGAAGATAAGGGGCCAAGGCAGGGGCGGGTGTATCTAAAATACTGAGAAATCCACATATATCAAAATCAAACCCAAGAGTCTCCTATATAGAGTATTATAAAACTATTAGAAAATCTTATTTTTTCCTAATCCAGAGTAATCTATAGTGTAAACAAAGTGAAGCACAGAGCCAAAAACATGAAAAAGACAAATGTATACACTCTATTTGATTCTCAAGTGACCAGATACAAAAATACGAGTTTTCATGGATATATGTAAGTTTTGATCGTTTTCTATCTTCATTTTTATTCAATTTCTTGTATT